CTAACTACTTGGGTCTGGATTTGTCAACTATTAATCAAATGTCAAAAGGGAACATATTAGGAGCGCCTTCATTTCCATGCTGGGTGTGATCTGAGGGGGAAACAGCCTTGCAGCCCAAGCTCAAACAAACTGCCCACAACATTTGAGGGGATGAGCTACTAATTTCAAGCTCAGCTGAACTAACGGATCACCTCTGTGGCTCCTGATCTGTTCAAATATAATAGGCCCACGTGTGGGTAAAGAGAGGAGCCGGGCTCTGACGGGGATGAAATGAATGAGCCCGTGCCAGCGCGCGTTCGTCCAGGGTTTGAAGGCACCGGCTGGTTCTTTGATGGACTGGGATCCTACTGCTAGCAAGAAAGCGGGGCAGTCAGCCAGTAAGTGAACCTTGAAACCTGGGCCTGACTTCTCACGCAGAGGGTGGTAGGGGGCGGTGGCACAATTAACATGAAAAGATCATTCCGCGGTAAAAAACTCTCTTCGGAGTTTGGTGAAGATGAGGCAGACTTACAGTAGGACACACCACGCCCAAGTGCCCAGATGTTCAGAGGATGTGTACACGCTGTATCTCCTATTTGCCACGTTTATATATACATATATCCCTAACCGGGGTGTGCATACACACGCAAATACACCTCCAGAGTGCAAGCCCGGTAAGGGCAGACGCCTCCTCTCTCTTGCTCTCCTCTCATTTCAGTGCCTACAACGGTGCCTGGCAGGCCGCAGCCCCTCGGCTGGCCAGGAGAATGAATGGACCTGCAGACTGGCCTCCCTCGCAGAGAAATGCAATTCATTCCCACCACCCTTAGTTTACGGAGCAGGGAAATGAGACATAAGGAAATGAAGTCATTTGCTCCAAGTCCCAGGGCCAGTAAGGTCAGAACCTAGGTCTGTCCACCTCCACGGCTGGTCCCCTCTGTCCTCGTGTACAACGGCTAGGCAGCAGAAGCTGGGAGGGAGCCCCCTGGCCACCAGCATGCCTAGGACTGCAGCAGTGAGCGGCTGCACAACCCAAAGGGGCACCGGCCAGTCACTACCTGCTGGCACCCTGCATCCCCGCCGGGGGTTGGCAGGTGGTGGCAGGACTGGGGGTGGAGACCAAGGGGCCTGAAAGCCTTGTTCTTCCATCGTGAGACCCGTGGAGCATGGACTTCATCTTTTCAAAACAGGTACTGCCTCGTCTGTTCCCTTTAGCCCCAGGATGGAAGGCTTATTGGATGATTTAAGACCTCCCTGCAAAAGACAGGGAGCCTCAGACGCCGCTCGGAGATAGGCCCAAGAAGCGTGGTTTCAACGGAGTTGAGTTGAATCAAGCTGACAGCACTGACTGGCTTTAAGGAAAAACACAGAAATTTGGGGTATGTGCTCTCATCTCAGATTCCTTTCATGTGTGAGAAGGAAGAGCTCCATGGTCAGAAAGGCACAGAAGTGTGGAGGCCCACTGCATGCTGGGAGAGATCTCGGAGGCGTCCAGGGCTACTGGGGAATTTCAATCAGTTGAGTGGGCCTCTGCCATGGTTGAGGTGGGGGCATGACTGACCTGTTCTTTGTAAGCTAATGCTTACCCTCAGGGACCCAGCCTGGTTTACAGCATGTGGTATGCTGACCCCTCCTCCCACATGCCAAATTGGATTTTTCTCGTTTGTTATCCATTGAAGTTATTTAACTAGATGGACTTTGGGGGAGCTGGTATTTTTCTTGCATAGCCAGTTAACAGTGACACCTAGTGGTAACATACGGCGAGGTTCTACCCTACCCTTACCCCCCCCTCCACCTCCCCCAAGTTGCAAGATTTATGCCCCTCCTTACAAGGCACATTCGCTAGATAAAAGCATTAAACTGGAATGGCATTTCTGTTCTTAGCATTTACAGCCTTGGTTATATCAACCACCCCCTGATCAATTTCCATTTCTAGAGTTTACAGCCTGGATGTAAAAGCCTGCCACAAAGGCTCTATTTAATATGACAAATTAAAAAAGCAAACACAGGCTTGGTCATTCTTTGGAGCCAGGAGAAGCAAAGAGGAGGGAGGAAAAAGCCAGCGGTAATGCACACAAAGAGGAACTTTCACGGAGCTGCTGAGTGTCTCTGTGCCCTAGCCAGGGAGGCTGACCCTTGGAGGCTCCAGCCCCCACTCGCCAGACCCACAGACACGTGAAGGGGAGCAGAGTAGGCTGACCCCAAAAGTGCCACTTTGGCGTGTGGACTGAGCTGGAGGCAATCAAGACCCAGCAGATTCCAGAAAAACTCTTACTTCTCCTTTAACTGCCTGGAAGAATCTGAATAGAGGGCCTCGCCCAGAAAGAGAGCTATTACCAGAGATAACTTTTCATCTGATTAACCTATGTGGATGGCCGGGCCAGCCTCTAATCACCAAACACCTGCTCTTCTTAGGTCCTGTGAATCACCCTCTTGAAGCCCCAGGCCCCTAGGCCATTCCTCAGCTCAGAGTGGCAAAAAAGTCTCAACTGCCCCACTTGACTTTGGGTCTCATGTTTTTATAAAGTGCCCTCAGGTATGAAGTAAAAAATGTGTTTTCCTCCCGTTAATCCGTCTGCCAAAGAACCTAGAAGCGTACGATGGAAGGAAACTTCGTCCACCCCTCACACAGCTGCTCCCCCATCTCCTTTCAGAGCAGCCACTGGCCCTCCCTGGCCATCCCTGTCACACAGAGAAGACATCCCCTAGGCATTGGCAACTCACTAGCTCCAAGGAAGCCGGGGCATCTGTGGACGGCTCTGGCTCTCACTGGTTCTTTTGAACACTTAGCCGAGGCCGGAGGCTGAACACTAAGCCACAGGGCTCCCTCTTGGGCCCTGGCAACAAACACAACAGCCTTCCCTTTTCCCATGAGTGTGTGGCGGGTGTCAGTGACTGCTGCGTGGGGGATACACAGGGGTAGGAGTGGGGGGAGGGGGCTGGCAAGGAGATGCGGATAGTCTGAAGAGAGAGTCTGTAAGTCAGGTAGACAGGTGTCCCTTCTGGAATGGATGTGGGGTGTGAGCGCTCCCTGAGCCAGGGGACCAGGCACGCAGTGTTTCAGTATCAAACCCCCCTCCCCCGCCCTCCCTTCCTTCAATAACGAGGCTCACAAAGAGACCAGGTTTCCCATTGTCTCAGGATTCTTCTCCTATTTACGGAGCTTATTAATTTCTGAATCAAGATGCCAAATCAGCTCCTGATCAAGGACAACGCTGGTTTTTTTCCCTTGGCTTCAAAATAAGTTTGCAGATGATGTGTTTGTGAACCAATCAACCCTGCACTTCCTCCCCTCCCAGCCTGGCAAGAGGGAGGTCATCTGACTCAACACCGAATGGAATGCGCTAGAGCAAACAAAGGCGAAGCAGTCAAGTGGTCTGGCTGCGTTTCCCTCCTCCAGAGGCACCCTGAATACCAACTCAAGACTCAGCAAGGTCCAATTCCAGGTTTAATTGCTTTTAGCGGCACAAAAGAAAATTAGAAATGAAAAGATAATGAATGCGAATATTAGCTTGTTTGATGGGTCTGAACTGGAAGGATGGGTCTGGGGTGGGCGGAGGAAAAGTAGAATGGGACAGAGAATGGAAAAGTCACATATCTGGGACTCTTGGTTGTTAACAGGCACACAGAGAATTTACTTCAAGATGAATGCATTACCTTCTTGAGTTGTACCTGAAATCAGTGTGAGAGCAGCTTCAGGAACACCACCCGGAGGGGGAGGGCTATTTTCACCCTAAGTTGGTTCTTGAAGGAACAAGAATGTCTGAGGGTAAGAAGCTGGTTGGGATGCGCCCCTGTGCTCAAGAAACCATGACTGATTCTGGGCCTAGGGGAAGTGACGGGAAAGTGACAGAAAGAAAAAGGGGAACTGGGGAAATCAAGAGCAAAGAATTGCAGAGGACAATAAATCAATCCAAAAGGATATTTCCATCACTCCCAGAGAGTGCAAGGTTTATAAGGGAGCAAGCAGCTTCCTCATTTCACAGTCTGAGCGGCCTTGCAGGCCTTCAGGGAATGGGAGGACTCCTACCCCACCACGGAAGATCGGAAGATCGGGGACTAATTTTTAGAAGCCTGAGAGGTGGGAGGGATTGTTGATTTGCCCTGGGTCACGGGAGCTACAGTATCCAGGGGAGTACACAGGGCCAGGCCAGGGAAGCTAACTTCTGTTCCAGTAGCAGACACTGGGGGATGGCAGGCCCACTCTGGCCTCCCCGCCCCAGCTCTCCATCCAGCTGGAGCAAGGGGGCCACAGTGCATTTTTGGTCTCAAGTTTGGGGAATGCTGCTGTACTCAGAATTTTAGCTTTTGAGAAAAATCCTTTGGGGCTCAAGGAACCAGACATAGCTTCTCCCATTAGCGGTGGCACAGCTACTTGAGAATAAGTAAAACTCTTGGAAATCACAACCACCTCATTTCAGAGTTGGAAAAGGCCCTTTAGACCATTAGTCTAGCGATTCTTTATGTCCCTCAGTTCACAGATGCCTACTATCATCAGATGAATGCCATGGACTCGATCCAGAGAAAGGAATGTTTAAGGGTTTGCTTGTACACGCCCCATTTTGTGTACAAAGTGCGAGGGTTCAGAACACCTGACGTCCACTCAGATGCTCTGGGGAGTCAAGGTGTGCCCGATCAGTAACCCAATGCTTATGCTTTGCAGAAGAAGGAGCCGCGGTCCAGACAGGTGCCAGGGTCACTCAATCACTAGAATAGGGCCTAGAACCAGATCTCTCTCCTCCCAGGAGAACTGCTTTGTCCTGTTTGCACACCATCTTTCTGCTTTTTGCCCCTTTGGAATTACTGCTGACACTGCAGCAGAGGGAAAGGTTACTTGCAAAGAGAAATGCATCTAGTAAAAATACCACCTCTAGAGTTGGCCCAGTTAAAGAAAGCATCTTAACCCGGCGAGAAGAGTGAGGAGAGAAGAGAGCGGAGATGCCTTGACTCTGCTCGCCATTAGCAAATCATCTATAATTTAGAGCAAACGTAAAGAGATGTGGGTGATCAAGCAGACGTACCTCCTGGCAGCCTCTTGTAATTTCACGGGCTGTTTGACGCTGAGGTAAATCAAGCAGGCATCAGCCACTTTATTCAGGTCACCCTCACCTGCGGAGGGGAGAAACAGAACAAGCATCGGGGCTCAGACTTCATCTGGGACAAGCAGAACGACTGCTGTCTGCTGGACCTGGAACAGCGAGGCGAGAGGCCCCGGGCTCTTGACTCCATCCCGTGAGTCAGAAAAGCACAACAAGATAGGTGGGGAAACGAGGGCGAAGTAAAACTGAAGGAGGTACCCACGAAGGGAGAGGAGGGAGCACGACTGGGTGCCGGGTGCCACGGTGCTGGCCAGATCGCACGCAGGCTGTGTGTCCCCAGGGGAGGGTGGCTGGTACCTACCGAGGTCCAGTCTTTCGCAGAGGGGGCCCAGGCCCTGCAGAACGGCTAGCTGTAGCTTGAAGGCCAGCATGTGTGTGTACACCGGTCCGGCCCGGGCGCTGACGGGAGCCTGGGTGACTAAGGAGCCGGCCAGCTGGGGCAGGATGTCTTTGCAGAATCGGCTCCTCAGAAAGTCGCCACACTTGCCTCCCAGGGTACGCAAGACCTGTAGAAACAGCCCCGGCTCTGGTGACTGCACATTGCCAGGCAGCACAGAGCTAAGGAATGTGTGGTAATTCAATTTCTTCTTGGGGGGAAAAAAAAATAGAATTACTGCTGTTAATTTCTTGCCCATGGTTTGTGATTCTGACAGTTATGAATTCGGAGGTCTCTGCTCCCAAGGCATGGCTGCTTCTATCCATAAATACAGATTACACGGGGAATAATTCAAAGGAATCTAGGGTTGGATGAATAATATGATTAATACCTTGATTTTCCTCCCTTTTTTGGTTAAAAAAAAAAAGAGCTTAAAGCAGTTCACATAGATCATCTCTTGACTCTTCCTAACATCCCTCGAGAGAAGGCTTGTGCTTTGAACTCCAGCTAGCTGAACAAACACCGTGACGCCCAGCGGCTGCTGCGCAGAGGCCCTGGGGGGGCAAGTAGCTGGCCGTGGTCCCTCTACTGGGTCCAGGCACGGGCCCGGCAGTCAGGGCCCCAGCAGAGCCCTGCCTGTCCCACCGCACCATCTCCCATGTATGTCACCCTCGTCCCATCTTCCACCACGGGCGGTTTCTTTACACGTCTTGTTTTAAACTTTCTCTAGCAGAACATATTGAAATGTTTTGCCCCGTTGCACAAGGCTGAATATACAGGATAATAGGAATTTCTTTAAAAATTGGTAAGCAAGGCATAACCAGCACAGAGAGTGTTTGCCGACTTTGCAGAGAATAAGGTCCTTTCCACAGGGCCCTCAGCTGGCCTGCACAAGGCCCTCCAGGCCTCGGATGTCACCAGTGTGTCTGAGGGTGGAAAAGCAGCCTCAGTTACAGTGCAAACATGTTTCTATTTCTCCCTTTTTCTATGCCTGCTGTCATTTCAGATCACCTATTAATTTCCATAAAGGAAGGCAGCATATCTGAATAAGATTTGGCAAGACCCCCCTCCTTCTTCCTAAGTCTCCCTCCTCCCCTGTGTGTGTGCATGTGTGTGTATGTGCATGGTTTTGTATATTTTGCTTTAGAAAAAAATATTAACAATTTTATATGTTTTAAACATAAGCTCCTACTTTGGTCCAGTATATGCTGAAGAATCTTACAGAAAACCAAGATACTTTTGCCAAGTATACTGGTTGCATTCCTGGTTTCATTTTATGTCCCTACACATCTTTTTGCTTTGCTTCATCTTGCTCGCCTACTCCTAATTTATGTTAGCTTGCCCTGGGAAATATATCTCTGTAGGTTGCCTTAAGTGCTTTTCAGAATAAGGAAGAATATAAATAAATAAGCCAAAATACATGTGCTGATATAAGCCAAACTAAGTCGGGGAGAATGAAACCTGACACACACACATATATATGGCTTTTAACTTTTCAAAGCATTTCACCAAACAGTCCCACTGTAGCCTTGACAACAATACTATGAGGAAGGTGGAACACAGGCTCCTAAGGCCAATTTGAAAGTGGGTGGGCGTGGCCTTTGCCCAGAGTCACCTGGATGGGCAGAGGAAGCTCACTGCTAGAACCCAGGCCCCTTCATCTTGACTCCTGTGCAGTGCAAAGAACCTGGGCACGAACACAGATCTGGGTTCTATCACTTACCCGCTGTGTGATGCTGAGAAAATCCCTGAACTTCTCTGAGCTTATTTTCTCCTCTGTCAAAAAGGAGGAGAGCAGAGGCTACCTTGGAAAGCTGTTGTGAGGAGATGCGTTCGCATGGGAGGCAGTGCCAAGGCACACACGGGGCTCGATAAATACTGGCAGTCCTTTTCATCTGCTAGTTCCTTCTGCTCCTAACTCAAGAGGGGACTGACTTTTACTTTCTTCTTTGTGCCTTTCTGATTTTGCTCTGCTTTCTTCGAGGACCAGCTAAAATGAGTGGGGATCCCCAAAGACGCGGCCGCGCTCTGTGCTGGCGGCCCCCACCCGCCCGGCTGACCGCGGTGGGACAGCAGCACGGTACCTTGAAGGCCCTGAGCACCACCAGGGGGTCGTCACTGGTGAGTCGGCGCACGAGCGAGGGCCAGGCCCGGTGAGCCAAGGGAAGGAGCTGGTTCTTGTGGGACTGAAGCACAACCACACACAAATCCAGCACATCCAAGACCTGAAAGAAGAGACAATGTGATTTCAGCAGGGCGGGAGTTCGTCATGGGAAGCGTGGAAGAGCGTTCCTGGAAGTTTCTAGAGGTGGTGATGGCAGCAAGGAAGACCCAGAGCAGGGCTCACGGCACTAAGGCAGGGCCGTGGGCAGTGTGACGCGGGAAGAGTAAGAGGAGTAAGAGTAAGAAGGTGTCACATTAGAATTTTTTAGTTCGTACTAAGTGTAGTGGGGAGCCATCAGAATGGGTTAAGCAGCAAAGGGCCATGATACAATTCACGTTTGAAAAAGGTCATTCTGGCTGCTGAGCGGGGGAGGGGCCCTGGGCAGGAGAGAGATGCGCAGGAAGCAGGCACATGCCCGAAGAAGAGGACAGGAATGTGGCCACGGGGTGGTGGCAGCATGAAGGGGTCTGAGGTCTGTCCTGGAGGTGTGTGTATACTGAACGTGTATACGAGCTGTTGTAGATGCTGACGGCCCCCGACATCGGGGCAATAAAGAGTGGTGTTGACAGGGACTGCCTGGAGTCAGGCTTAGCGACTGAACCAATGCAGGCGCTGCTGGCTGAGACAGGAGCAGGGAGGGGAGGACGCTGAGAGGCTGAGAGGCTGGGTGAGGTCATGTTCCCTTTGTTCTACGTGGAGAAGCCAAATAGGCAGCCGAGGTATAGGTCCACCTCAGAAGAAAGGTTCGGGTGGCCTAGACATAAACTGGATTATTTACCCTCCCCGAGAATATGTGTCCTAATCTGCAGTTCAGAGAGAGACTACTGGCCTGCCTCAGTATCCCCAGCAGGGGTCACGACGATGAGCAGTGTGGCCTTTCCTCCCAGAGATGGGCTGGCCTTCACAGAGCAGGGGAGGGTGCACGGCTGAGTCAGAGAGACTGAGGTCTGCTAACAGAGCAGTAAACCCCGCTGGATGTCGGCTACGTGCTGGTCACACGGAGGCCGGAACAGCAACAAAGAACAAAAGAGGGCCCGCGCGTGAGGGGAAAGAGGCAGGCAGGGCAGGAAGAGAAGCCTGGGCGTGTACCGCACAGCAAGGCAGCCCAGCGGAAAGGGTGCTGCTACCGTGGGCTTCGAGTGAGTTCTGTCACTAACTGGGCAAGTTACGTCAGACACTCCTGATTCCAAGACAGACATTTCCTCCTTCTGCTTAAAACGCTCATCTCCTTGCCTTTGCCCCTTCTCATGGCTGGCTCCTTCTCTTGAGCCTTTAAGTCTTGGCTCAAATATCACCACCTCAGGAGAGGCCTTCCCCGATGACCTGGCCGAAGCCGGGGCAGAAGCTCTGTCTTCTGCAACAGGGTTTGGCACAGAGTAGGCTCCTAATGCATGTTCACGGATGGGGACTTACTATTTTCTATCACAGAACCTGCTTATTCTCTGCAGAGATTTCTTTGCCTTCTAGGTGTGTATATGTGTATTTCCCCACGAGAGACAGGAAGTTCCATGAGGACAGGGACGCTTGCTTCACTTTAGTCTGTACAGCCTCTGCCTGACCTGCAGCCGTGCGTAACACACACTCGACCGTAGCCGAGACTCAGTGCTTCGTATTTATAATCAACAACCCAGTGAGGCAGGTCCCATCCCACCCATTTTACAGAAGAAGTAGAGGTTTAAACAGGTGAAGTACTTGCTCAAGGTCACAGAGGCAGAGCCAGGATGTGAACTCAGATATGCAGGTCTGACTCCAACGCCGGTGATCTCAATAACACGGTGTGGACACGGCTACTACAGAGCCTCCGTGAAAGGGAAGACACTCGGGCTAATGTATTGCCCAGACACCTACCATCAAGCCTTGCATACAGCCGGCACTCAAACAGTACTTGCTGCATGGAACAAGAGATGAATGCTAAGAAGCTCCTCTGGGGAAATGAAGTGAGTTCCACAAAGCACAGAACCTGGGATCTGACATGATCCTGGAGGGGGGTTTCTTAGCCCACCACCTCCAGCAGGGCAGCGTGCTCTCATCGCTAACAGTAACTCACAGAGGTAGCTGTGTTTCTCACATCTGCTCGGGGGTGGGAAGGAACAGGCCCCTCCCTGTGAGAGCTTCTCCCAGGTGATTCTGAAAGCCCCGTCCCCACGCCCAGTCGCCCCACTGTCCAGTTTCACGATTGCATCGTTTAAGTCCTTGCTGATGGGGATGCTGCTTGGGAAACTGCCGGCAAACAAGGAAGTACAATTAAGAAATGTGGGTGTTTTTCTGGGGATGAACATGGAAACAGACACAGAGATAGGGGCCAGAGTCAGGCGTGGAAGAATGACTGCTCCCAAGGATTAAAACCTGCCTCCCACATGAAGTCACTTTAGAAAATGATATCCTTTCCAAAGCATAGGGCCTTCTTTCCCTTGGGAGAGTCAACGGATGTACAAAACTTTGTGTTTTTTTAATTCCACAAAGAGGAGACTTGGCTCCCTTTTGGCATCTGAGCTGATACAGAAGGCCATAAGGCTGTCATCCCACAGATAAATTCTTCCTGATGCCTTCCCTTGGCCACCACACATGGACCGGGAGATAAGGGCGGCCTCTTGCTCATCCATGCCGTCCCTGGCAGCCAGAGCGACCCGGGGTCCCACTGCTGTGCAAACGCAGGGAGAGGGCTGCACACTGACCTTCAAGCGGATCATCAGGTTCTTATCGGACAGCAGGTGGATGCAGCGCTCCATCACATCTTTGGCTATCTGGATCTGCACTGGCGGCGGGGGCTCCACATCAGGACCAGTGTCACTCTCGTCTACCTTTGGAGGCTCTGACTGCTCCTCTGGAAAAAAAGCTTAACTGGGGACAGTGTTTTATGAGAGATGCCCCACATCGATGTGCTCTCCCAACCTCAGACGCAGGAATGGCGTTTACAAGGAACTGATCCTAAGGAAACCATATAAAATTTGGGTAAGAGCACCTGGGTGGCTCAGTGGGTTAAAGCCTCTGCCTTCGGCTCAGGTCATGATCCCAGGGTTCTGGGATGGAGCCCCGCATCGGGCTCTCTGCTCAGCAGGGAGTCTGCTTCTCCCTCTCTCTCTGCCTGCCTCTCTGTCTACTTGTGATCTCTATCAAATAAATAAATAAAATCTTAAAAAAAAAAATTGGGGTTAAGCTATCAGTCAAGATATTCACCAGAGTGGCACCTGGGTGGCTCAGTGGGTTAAAGCCTCTGCCTTTGGCTCAGGTCATGGTCCCAGGGTCCTGGGATCAAGCCCCACATCGGGCTCTCTGCTCAGTGGGGAGCCTGCTTCCTCCTCTCTCTCTGCCTGCCTCTCTGCCTACTTGTGATCTCTCTCTGTCAAATAAATAAATAAAATCTTAAAAAAAAAAGAAAAGGATATTCACCAGAGCATTAACTATATAACAGCTAAACTGGGGGTGGGCGGTGGGGAGAACCCCTCCATTGCCACCTAAGGGGGAATAATTACATAAGCCATGCTACGTCCATACAAGGATGTTATCATGGGGGCCCCCAAATTTGTGTTTACTGAGGGCTTTAACAACAAGGGAAAATGTTTATGAAAGATTATTATGTTGAAAAGAGAAAAGCAGTATATACAATTGCATACACAGGTGGAGCATTATTATGTAAATTTCTCGCATAGCAGGAAGTACCATGAAATACTAACAGAGATGGGGTCATGAGATCATATAGGATTTTGATTTTCTTCCTATACCTTCTGTCTTTTCTAAATTTCCATTAATAAATATTTCAAATAAAAATGTAAGAGGGCAATATTTTAATTTGGATCCCTGAGACTGGCAGCTCCTTTGCTCTGACCTTTACCCTTTCTTTCTTCTTGGTTCATTCTTTGACTAAGAGGCTCGTTTGTCTCCTCCACCAGCTTGCAGGATCTTTCAATGGCCAAGTTCAGGCCTTACTGATGTCTGCATGAGAGATCCCAGCGCGGCAGCCTGGTATAATACCCAGGGAGGGGGTTTGGTCAAAGGAGGTCAGTTCAAGTCCTGACTGCACACCTATTAGCAACCTTCTCATCCTACATTACTTCATCTGGAAAAAAGGTATAAAGCACGTACACCTCATTTGCTTGAGAGTTAAGTAAGATGAATGCCACCAGCTATCAGCATTCTTTCACTGCCTAGAGTGCTATGCTGCACACGATAGGCCTAAGTTTGTAAATTAAAACAACAATGAAAAGACCTGAGAATTGCATGAAACCCAGGCCAAAATCCCTAGCCCGGAAAATTTTCCTCTATGTACATACAGCCCCCAGCTCTGCAGCCCCTCCACCAAGCCCCCATTACTAGCTGTGCTCATTTCCACTGAGCTGAACGTTGTGTCCTTCACTTTTTTCCATTTCTGTTTCCTCTGCTGGAAAAAAACAAATCTTATAGCAGAGGCCACACCTGTCTCTACCAGATGCTGAAAAGATAAATGAAAATGCATTTGTAGAATGCTTGGATTTCTTGGAGAAAGGGACCTCAGATACACGAGGTGCTTTCATTGTGGCTAAAACAAAAACACATGTCAAACCAACATGAAGCCAAACATTCTTTATAATGCCAAGTCTGTGGTGTGAACTTGATGAATGATAATTATAAGAATGATAAGGCTGTGCTTTTCTTCCCAGAGGAGGATTTGTTGTTTGAAATTCACCTATTGCACAATGTTATTTGAGGGATGTGGATTTTTCCGTTACTGGGAGAAAGGTTGATTCATTCAGTCTGCTCCTAGCCAACATCAACTAGAACCAGAAGATCCTAATCGTGAAAGAATGGATTCACAGACAATACTAGAATTTCAAACAAGAATGGCAAATCCGGATTACGAGGGATCATGATGCCTCCCCTCCCTCTGAGTTTCTGGGTTTGGGTGTGGGGTGCAGGTCAGGAAAAGAAAGATTGGGTTGGCTTGAGAAATAAAACTGAGAAGAAAAGGCCTCGTAATAGACTTCTGATCAGAAAACTGTCCTCGGGGAGGGCAATGACTCTGCGTTCCGCATAAATCATTCCCCGGGCCCTGTGATAATTCCCTGACACACTAAAGGAACCGGCAGTAGTTAGATGCATCGAACAGACTATTTCCTATTATCCTGGAAGTACTGGTTTCAGTTCACCAGAGTCTCGGAGTGGAGACCACCAAAAAAGAGAAAGAATCCTGCTCAATTCCAACCTAACAAACTAATTTGGGATTCAGTTCGATTTAGGATAGTTCTGAGACCACCAAGCTCATTATGACTTGGAATTTTATATTTGCAGAGGAGATTCTAACAATTTATTAATCCTTCCGTGACCTGAAGCTCCAGATTGAGCTTGTGAATAAAACAACAGGCCGGAGCTTACACTAGCTTGAACTCCCTTCTCCTTTATCATATAAGTAGGGAAGAAAAACATTGAAATCTCCTCCCACCAATAAATAAACGGACAAAACATGTGAATAGACGATGAGCATGAGAAAAAAAATCGTCGGGAAAGGAACATACAGGAAAACGTTTGACCTTGCCTGTAATCGAAAGAAATGCAAAGTCAAATATCGAGAACCATTTTTCATCTATTAATGCAGCAAGAAGTGAAAGTCATAATGGCCAACGTTGGCAAGGCTGTGGTACCACCAGTGTTAATCCCGCGCTGCTGAGGGAAGGTATAAATTGACACAACCTTTCTGGAAGGCAATTTGGCAAGCATAAAATAATGTTCATATCCTTGACCCAGAAATCCCACTTCTGGGATTTATAAAGAAATATGCCAAAAAAAAAAAAAAAAGGGAAAATGTTCACGTGCACAAAATCATCCACTGCCACACTGTTTATTAGAGTGAAAAGCTAGAAGCAACTCGAACTTCCCACAGGGGAATGGGTACTTAGTAGCAGCTATTAAAACATTAATTATGAAAACTCTACAGCAACATGGGAGAGTTGCTGATTGTATAACTAAGTGCAAAAAGGGCATAATGCATTTAAACTCTAGCTGGAACCATACAGCAATAGGTCTGCAACAAAAAAGAATGGGATAAGATGGCACAAAAAATGAGGGTGCTTCCGCTGAGCATGGTGGGGTTAGGAGCGACTTTTCTGATTTCCAAATGTCTTGTAATGCGATCTCATTCTTATAATAATCTGCTTCAAAAAGAAAAAACTGGCTAAGCCAAAATATACAGTTACCTTCTTCATTATCAAAATCTGAGACATTTCCATCTGCCACATCCTTTTCTTTGAGGTAGTTCAGCAAAAATTGTTCAATGTCTTCTGCTGTGGTGGTATTCTCAGGAGCTACTGGTCTTTGGCTCAAATGACTTCCCTCCTCCCCTGCACTCTGCTCTTGGGGTTGCCCGAGATCACCTGTGTCTGGGAACCACTGGGCTGAAAATAAAGTGTTATAATGATCACCACGGTCATTGACAATAGGCATTAGCACTCTAGCAGCAGAATACGCTCTTTGCCACGGCCTGCGTGGCCCCACACGATCCAGTCCCTCCGTCCATCTCTCCAACCTCATCTTCCAGCTCCTCCCAGTTGCCCGTGAACCGAGCATCTTCCCATTCCTCCAATGGGGCAGGCGTTTTCAACCCCAGAATGTTTTGCATACACTCTTCTTGCTGTCTGGACTACTTTCCCTACGACGTCACATCTGGCTAATTCCAATTCACCTTTCATGTCTCAATATACATAGAACTTGCCTAGGAAAGCCATCCCTTGGCTTCCCAATCCAATATAGGTCCCTAAAGGCTCTCTTATAGAGTACTATCTTCTCTCCTTTCATATCAACTCATAATGATGTGTAATTACCTTTATCTTGAGTATACTGTTTAGTGTCTGCATCTCCCATTGGACTCTACACTCCACTGATTGCCACTGGAATCCAACATGCCCAGCGTGGAGTGGGTGTGCCCAAATATATATGCTGAATGAGAAAATATGCAAGAGAATACATACAAGCAACAGAATTCTGAGTACAGGGTACACTCCTCATTAGCAGAAGACCGGCTCTATAGTCTTGGAATGGACACAGCCTCTCATCTGTATTTCTGATAAAAAAGGCTGGCATGTTCTTTCCAAAGCTTTTCCTTCTTCAGGCTGCTCCAATACTTCTGATGTGTCACTACAGAATAAGGCTTAAACATCACTGAACCAGTCAGTGGTTTTCAAACTGTGCCTTGAGGAGCCCTAAGCGTTCTTCAGGAAAGTCTCGGGGCCACAACAGGGAGGGCCCCGAGAGACGGCATGCTAAAGGGGGTGGGCCCAGGGCGTCTGACTCCCCTCTAACCCAGCAGCTCTGATTTCAACTCTTTTTACGTACTGGGTTTCCCCTAGGGCTTCATTTCAAAAAAAGACTCTAAACACTTAAAAGAAACAACAACAAAACCCCAGAAAACCCCAGCGTGAATTTTCACCCTTTTACAGACAGCAGGAAAAATGCCTCCGATAACCTTTAGCCCCTGCTAATCTCATTTCTGTCAAGGAGCTCGTGCACAGAGCAACAGCAGACAGGCGATGCCAGGACCAGGCAAATGGGAACCACAGAGAACAAACGCTGGGTGAGAGTCTGTACCCCAGAGCCTAGAGGTTCTACATGGAGGGGACCACTTAGGCCATTTCCTCAATGTCCCACCCCCGCACGTAAGTCAGGCCCTAGCAGACTCCAAGGGATTGCATTCCTGACATGTTAAAATCAGGACTTAGCATTTACAATGATAAACGTAGATATGCTGCAAAGATTTCTACATTGAGGCTAGTACCAGACACTGAAGTCTTTGCTTACGAATGGCTTTTAAACATACGAAAAGCAGCTCAGCCTCACTCTTAGTGCAAATTAAACTATAATAAGGTGCTATTTTTCTCCTATTGGATAAGCAAGGATTAGCAAAAGACTCAGGAATATAGTCGAGAGGAGGGTATGGAAAAATCAGCTCTCTGCTCCACTGCTGACAGGAGTTTAAATGGGTGCAATTTTTTGGAGAGCACCCTAAAACTCTCCATCCAAAACTGAAATGTGGGGTGCCCGGCTGGCTCAGTCTGGAGCACATGACTCTTGATCTCAGGGTTGTGAGTTTGAGCCCCACACTGGGTACAGAGATTATAAAAACAAAACAAAACAAAACAAAACAAAACAACAACAACAAAAAAAAACCAGATTAAATGTACTGTCCTGTAAGCCAGCAGTACTCCTTCCTCGGAAGTTACTCTATTGATATACTCTGACATGTTCAAAATGACCTCTAAAGATATTCACTGCAGCATTTTTTTTTTTTTTTTTTTTTTTTTTGTGGTGGCAAAAGAATGGAAACAACCAAAATCTCCAGCCGGAAAGGACCATTTAAGCAAACTGTGCACAGCTGCACAACAGTATCCCAGGCAGCCACGAAAACCAGGTGGCAGCCGTCCACATATGGCTGTGGCACAGGCTCTCAGTGCCAAGGGGCGTGGCACAGACTCTTCCTTGCTTTCAAAGCTACCCTGTTCTCGTTGCTGTGGGTCCTCAGAAACTGGCAGGAGGTGCTCAGCGGTAACCACGCTGATCGCTCCTGCCCTCACTGTGGCACTTAATGTTTTCTAGCCAGTGAACACTGCTAATTATGGTGACTCCATTTCCTGAAACATGTGCTGGGTCCTCTGAAGACTTTCTAGACGGTCTCTGAGACCACACTTCCATTCCCATTTTAAAAGAGTGGCCATCAGTTAGGTCAAGATCTCAGGGTTGGGGGCGCCTGGGTGGCTCAGGTCATGATCCCAGGGCCCTGGGATCAAGCCCTGCATTGGGCTCCCTGCTCAGTGGAGAGTCTGCTTTTCCCTCTTCTCTGCCTGCTACTCCCCCTGCTGTGTTCTCTCTCTTTCTCTGTCAAATAAATAAAATATTAAAAAAAAAAAAAAAAAGATCTCAGGGTCGTGAGATGGAGCCCCATGTCTGCAGGGAGTCTGCTTGAGATTCTCTCTCCCTCTCCCTTGGCCCCTCCCCTCTCCTCTCTCTCTCAAAATAAAATAAAAAAAGAAGAGAGTGGCCATCAGTTAGACAACTTGAAAACAAACAGAAACGGCAACACAAAGTGACTCACGTGCAACTGACCAATTCTTCAGCACTGCTCACCATTCCAAATGCAAGTATATTTGGGGTGATTTCAACGCTTTCAGGAAAGCCATCTCCCATCTTGCTTCTTTCCCTAGGATGTCCTCAAGTCAATATTAACCATCTTCCTTTTTATCTCTACAGTGGAGACCCTTCCCCTTCCGCTTCACTTAAAAAATAATAATAAAAATAAAGTGCTACACAGGGTTTCTCCTTTCGAGGTGACCAAAGACATCAGCAACCCAAGACAATTCAATTTTCAAGGCCCCAACTGAGATATCTCCTGAGAGCATATACTTAATAGGCCTTTTCTCAATATAGTTTTTTTTTTTTTTTAAAGATTTTATTTATTTGTTTGACAGAGATCACAAGGAGGCAGAGAGGCAGGCAGAGAGAGAGGAGGGGAAGCAGGCTCCCTGCTGAGCAGAGAGCCCAATGTAGGGCTCAATCCCAGGACCCTGGGATCATGATCTGAGCCAAAGGAAGAGGCTTTAACCCACTGAGCCACCCAGGTGCCCCTCTCAATATAGTTTTAAAATCTCAAACGGACACGTAGTCTAGTTCCCCAAAGCACTAAAGGTGGAAGTCTGGGCTAGCTTCAGACCATGGAAGCTGTTAGCCAGTCTCAGCAGTGCTGCCGCGAGGGCAGTACCTAGTCCTTCTCGGTCACTGCTGACGTCTCAGCGACTAGGCCAGTCCAGAGACTTCCAAGTCATTGCAAAATAAAATCCAAACTCCTTCCCTTGGTCTAAAAGGCCACATGGGGTTTATCCTCGCCTCACCTCCCCTGCCAGCTTTATCTTGTATCACTCTCTCCACAGTGGCCTCTCTCCCAGGCTCTGGCCTCTCTCCCAGGCTCTGAAGTCCTTTCTTTCCTCCACATCTTTGCATCTGCTTCTTTGACCTGAAGGTTCTTAAAAAACATAAAAAGGATAGGACAGCTCCACACGTACCGAGGGACCCTTCTCAGCCTTCAGGTCTCAGCTCCACTGTTGCTTCCTCAGGGAAGCCCTCCCTGACCACTCGACTGAAAGTATCCTAGCCCTGTTCCTCTGGCATCAGGTTGTCTGTTTTCTTCATAGAGCTTATTAGACTCTGAAATGAACTTGTTTAATAATTTACTTGCCATCTCTTTTGCAGGAGCAAGAAAATTGCATGACTGTACTTGCCTTGCTCACTGCTGTATCCTGATGCCTAAGCACACTGTCTGACACATGGCAGCCACGCTTTGGCAAAGGAATGAATAAAAAAACATTTAGATGGCATGCGAGTGTTTACGAATGAATGAATGAACACTGGAAATGGTTTGAGGTATAGGGTAGATGACGGTCTCTGTTCCAGCCACCCGTCCTTGCTGTGACAAACTTTCTTACATGATCTTGGCTTTCTTGGCTGACAAAATGAGGTCTGTAACATTTCCACCTACCATGGAGGCTCCTAGTACTGGAATAAATACTAGAGATACGGTCTTTGGATAAAAGGGACTCAAGTATATAGCTCATTATTTTTTTCAATCAAAGACTGACTATCTAATTAAGAGATTCTTTTTCTTATTGTCCAAAACTTTGCCACTTTAATGGTTTTTAACACCTCCAACAGACACCCAACAGGATCACCTTATACAATTAAAAGGTTAAAGACGTTTCTACAGGTGCCTGGGTGGCTCAGTGGGTTAAGCCTCTGCCTTCAGCTCAAGTCACAGTCTCAGGGTGCTGGGATCGAGCCCCACAATGGGCTCTCTGCTCTGCGGGGAGCCTGCTTCCCCCCCACCCCGCCCCCGTGCCTGCTTCTCTGCCTACTTGTGATCTCTGTTTGTCAAATAAATAAATAAATCTTTAAAAAAAAAAAAGTTTCTAGACCTCTGTCTAGTATGGTAATCACTGGGTACATTTGGCTATTTAAGTTAAAATAAAGAATTCAGTGCCTCAGCTACACTAGCCACGTGTAGCTAGTGGCTACTGCAATGGACAGAACATATATAGAATATTTCCATCATCACAGAAAGTTCTAGTGGGCCGTAACACTCTAGCTCATCTGCGGACTGAGTAATTCCTGTTATTCCTATTCTCCATTAGTACAGAGACTTCTAACCCCACATATTGTCAGAAGCAGTTTGGGATACTGAAAAGAACAAGACTGTCACAATTCCTGACTTTACTCCTTATTACCTGTGTGAACCTGGCTAAGTCGATCTCCCTGTGCCTTAGTTCTTCTTTTCGGTTAACATAAAAAGAATGTTTACATTTAATCTGCAGGGTTTATGGCCCGGACATAGAGAAGTTCAATATATGGCAGAGGTTATTAAAAGTGTGTGTATACACAGACATTAAAAAAAAAAAAAAAGCAGTAGAACCCTGGCATAACCTGTAGGGCTGGACCAACAACTATTCAAATAATGTCCTCCATAGCATAACCACACACAAACAAAAAAGAAGATCAGGCAAACAAGGATACTAGGCCTTCCCCTAGATTAGCATTAAAAAGGGCTCTGACTGTACCTAATGCTGCCAGCAAGGCATGGAGGACGCCCACAAAGGAAGTAGCTCTCTTATCATAAAACTGGTCCAGAGTGGCCAAGACGTCCTGAACCACATCTACCACCAAAGGAAGCAGGCTAGCATCCGAGTCCCACAGCATGACTTCCAAGACCTTTGGGGTATGGGGGTGCAGAGACAGATGACGCAGATTTAAAGAGATCCCATTCACCAAATAGTCCGAATTTTGACTGATTAGGTGCTGCGGAGAGTCGTAGCCACAGGCGTGGCAAATGTCCATCATGGCGCCGGTAGCTGCCTGACTGATGAGCAGGGTTTGGTCCCCGGCCTTCTCCAGGACTGGATAGAGGGCTGACATCAAGAGCAGACGGAAGTCTTTTCCTAGTGCATATGCAAAGCGGCCGATCCCTTCCAACTGGATGCATATTTGCCAGATGTTGCTATTCATGGAGCAGATAGTGGGACCTGGCTTTGAGAAGGCTGGGAAAGATGTGACTTGGCAGGGGTGTGCAGCAGATGTGATGGCCTGGAGGCCTGACTGCTTCATTGTTAGCGCCTCTCCCCCTTCCTCAGATTCGATACAGGTGACCAAATACCAGTTTTCTTGGCTCGTGTATTCTTCAAGTATAGTGGTCACAATCTCTTTCAGTTCCTCCGGGCTTGTTTTAATGTGGTTTTCGTGAAGATTCTCCACCTCCAGCCCAGCAGCCCCCACAACCAGCTCATTCAGGATCATGGCGGCTTGCTTCCGGTAAACCACGGACTCGTGGTAGAGCTCCATAAAGTGATCGACGAGCAGATAGAGGTCCCCATAAAACCCGAGGAGCCGACACAGCTGCTGCAAAAGCAGGAAAAGCCTCTCGTCGGTGAAGAAGCGGAAGTACCTCCTCTGCATCAGAGCCGCGCTCTCTGGGGACGAGCTCAGACCACCAGAAGGCCGGCGCCGCTCTTCGACGACCTTGATGTCGGCCACGTCCAATTCCAGCACTTGGATGAGCGCTTTGGAAAGGCGCTGAAGATGGGCTGCAGAGCGGAGGACGAAGTTCACTTTGGGGCCCAGGAGTTTCAGATAACCGAGTAACAGGGAGAGAGTAGAGAATTTGCCCTGATCGTCCTGGGAGTTCATGAGGCGGGGCAGAGACGTGGCGAGGGAATGGAGGTTTTCTGACAAGATGTCCGCAAAGGCTCTGTTGCCGACCACTACTTTCCGATCTGCGAAATGTCTCAGAACTTTACTGCACTGGGCTTGGACCTCGGGACTCTCATCATTTACTAGACCCACCAAAGCCTTCAGAAGGGGTCCAGCTGAGCCGACCAGGGACTGACTGCATTTTAAGAGAAGGGCCTCAACGAGTTCTGTCAGGGCTAGCCTCACCTTCCAGTGTGGGTGCACGGAAACACACTCAGTTATCTTTTTAATAAGGACGGTCAGTTTGTCGCTGGTGTTTTTTACCCACTTGGCTTCCCTGTGAACCATCAGCTCTGCGACTCTGGGCTCCACGGAGGCAGGCTTCTGTCCGGCGTCCGAGGTCCTTTCGAGCTGTTCGTCAGCCATAATGAAACTCACTGTCTCGTAAAAGATCTTTAGGGAAGACACGACAATGCTGTGCCCTTGCTTAAAGTCTCCCGTGATCACCCGGGTCAGTGCCATTGAGATTCCAGGTAAAAAAGAAGCAAACAAATCCCCCAGCTGTTTCTGTTCAGGCTCACCCAGGGACCTCGGGTGGTCCTGACAGTCGCACTGGAAGAGGAGAACCTGCAGACATTTTAAGGCAGCAACTTTAATTTGCTTGGATTTCTCCTGTTCTGCGAGGTCCAACAGTAAAGATACGGCAAATCCTAACCGAGGCAGGATGGAGGGCTCATAAAAAGCCAGGATGGTGTCCCCGTAAGCCGAGTGCATCAGCGTGCTGAGGCCCTGGATCACGGCCAGCTTCAGCTCCTCGGACACAGCTGCGGGTTGCCGGGTGCCAGGCGAATACAGGCACGCGGAGAGCTCAGAGAAGAGCTCCTGGAGAAGCTCTCGTTCCCTCACGCAGGTGGAAGAGAGGACGAACGTGAGGCATTCCACCACGCTCTGGATCAAGCGCTCTCTCTTGGGGCCCGGCGTCTTCAGCGCGAACCGCAGTGGGAAGAGGACGTACTGCTGGAGCTCCTGAAGGGCCGAGTCGCTCACTGCCTGCAGTTGCGCGCGCAGGCGCTCTACGGTCTCCACCGTCTGCGTCTTTGTGAGCTGAACACAGACCGGGCGCAAGGCCCCGAAGGCCTCCTCGGGAGTGTTGAAAACGGCCATCGCGCAGCAGCCGTCTTCTCACTGTGAAGCATCCTGCAGGCCGGAGGAAGAAGGCTTTTCAGTGAAGGTCAAGCTCAGAGCAAATACAAGGCGAACTTGCTTTCATTCAACCACAGACACTTCGTGGGGGCCTCTGTGCCAGACACCGCACGAGGCACCTGGGGAGCAACGGAACTGAGAGAGGTGGCTGGCTGCTCTTCTCGGGGTGGGGGGGCCCCCCAGTCCAGGGAGGGAAGAAGCCCGACGGTTACGACACAGGCTGCTAAGAACTGGGACCGGCCCGTGCTCACGGTCCTGGGTGGATGGTCCTGGGAGACCCACGCGTCAGAAGTCTGCGAAAGCCAGGGGAGGGGTCACAGGAAGAAGATGCTTAAGCCGGACTTGAGGGAGGAACAATAGCAATCTGTGGGCTACGCTAACGAGTTTGGATCTTAACCTGTGGTAGAAGTGGAGAGCCACTGAAAGTTTTATCTTTTTTTTTTTTTTTAATTTAAAGATTTTATTTATGAGACAGAGTGCATGTGCACACAAGAGTGGGACGAGCAGCAGAGGGAGAAGCAGACTCCCCACTGAGTAGGGAGCCCGACGTGGGACTCTATACAAGGACCCTGGGATCATGACCTGAGCCGAAGGCAGACTTTTAACCCACTGAGGCACCCAGGCATCCCAGTTTTCTCTTTTTCAAGTTGAGGTATAAGATTCATAGAGTAAAATGCACTAGTCTTAATGTACAGCTCAGTGGATTCTTGTGAAGTAGAAATCTATACAACCATCACCCAAAACAAGAGAGAATATTTCCAGCACCCTGGGAGGCTCCCTCAAGCCCTTTTACAGTTGATTCTGATTTCCCCTGCCCAGTGGTAACCTCTACTCTGACTTCTATGACCACAGGTTCATTTTGTCTGTTCCTGTCTTGGAGAGGTTTTAAGTGGAAGTTACAGGATCAGCTTTATGCACTGAGAAGGCCCCCTGGCAGCCAACGATATGGGAGAAGAGTCAGAGCTTGGGTGAGACCAAGAGCAGAACAAGACAGGAGGGAGTGGCCAGAGAAAGGGGAAAACCGGGAGCACACACCATCACAGAAATCACGGGTGAAGACAGAAACCAGCAGGATGGAAATATGGACAGCAGGCAGGCAGTGAAAGGAGATAGGTTTATAGGTGAGCAAAGGAACTGAGCAACTTAATACCGGATAGTCTCTTTCCTTTGTGAGGAGAAATTCAAAGTCAGGCTGACAGTGAACAAGAAGGGGGAGGGCGGGGTAAACAGAGGGTTTGAGAAGAGAAATAAAAGTCTCCAATATTTCCCTTTGGGGAAGCAGAGCATGCTGGGAAGACATAAAAGTGTGGCCCAAGGGTACTGAGGACTGAGCTGAAGCTGGAGACCATAAACGAGTACAACTGTAAAACGCTGGCACTGGAGGGAGTTTATAGAGATCGTCTAGTCTGGTGGGGTCTGTCAGTCCGTCTGTGTCTCCCAACCCCTTTCTCTCTCTTTTGGCTCAACTTACTGGGGGCTTCTGAATAGATGATGCCCCTTCCTCCAGATGAACCCTCCAGAGCCCCACTGACTACAGGGCTGACAGGCAAGTGGTGCCTGGTGGATGTGGGCAAGACCTGCTCAGCCCAGCGAGAGAGAGTCAGTGCCAGATTTCCTCCTGGGTCAGGAGAGGGCTCCAGGGCAACAATCAGGCTCTAAAACCCTGGAGAGAGTCTGGTCCACAGAGCCTCACGGTATTCTGCAAGGAAGGGCAATATTGGTCACTGTGAAGCTTGCTGGGGGGATACCTCTTGGTCTCTGTGACTCCCCACCAAGGGAGAAAACTCAAATCTGCCCTATCTCAGGCTACTGATGGCAGAAGGCTCGGCCAGGGATTACTGCCATCCCACTGTCACCGGCTCACACACACGTAACCCGGAGGCTACTGTGCCGTCCCCTGCTTGAGGTACTGTAGTTGGAACACCAGAAGGGAAGGAAGATAGCCACTTAACGCAACCCAGGAGTCGGAGGCAGGAAAAGCAAGCAGAGCACTGTCTGAGGTGGTGAGTTTTAGACTAACAGAACCACTAAGGGAGACAGACAAGAATTGGAAAAAATAATAAGAGTGATAAAAAAAAAGTCTGATCACAAGACAAATGATATCTTTTAGGATTTTAAAAACATGATTTTCCACACCGAGAAAGCTCAAGTGATGGTATTTTTTAAAAAAAGATGGTTAACTACTGAGATCCAATCAGCAGCCTAGAAGACCTAGGAGAGCTACTTTAAAACTCAGAGCAGAAATACAAAGAGACGGAACTCATGAGACTTGGAGAACCGACACGTAAATAAATAGCAGGGAATTCTGGAAGGAGAGAAAGGACCAGATGGAGGAGCCAGAACAAATAAACAAATGAAACATTTCCCTGAGCTGCAGAAAGATTTACCTGGAGACTGAAAAGACAGAAGGACACACACCTAATCACACTCTGGTAAAATTCCTATATGCTAAAAGAGACAGAAGAAAATTATACATACTTTCAGGAAGAAACAAACAAATAACTTAGAAGAAGACCAGGTCTGGCTTTCTCATCTGCAACAAGGGACATCAGAAGACAATGGAATAGCATCTACTGACTGCAAAGGAAGGCCTGTGGCCCCCAAGTCCTATATACAGCCAAGAGAGACACCAGTCAGACTGTATGAACAAGAGCAAGGATGCAGAGAGGGCATGACCCACACACCCTCTGAAGGAAGGTACTTCAGAATGGATTCCATTCAAATGAACAACTCAAAACAGAGACCTTAAACAGGAAGATGAATGAGGAAGGAAACACTGTTAGCATTCTCTTAGAGTGGAAAACTTGTTTCAAATAAAATGTTGAAGTGGAAGCCCACACAAGGTAGAATAAATCAGAGGGTCTGGTTGAAGCTGGAGTGAAGGCAATGGCCTGGGGCTCTACATCTCTCTTTATCTATCTCAGGAGTTTCAAGAACACAACCTGGGGCCCCCCCGGAACTACGCTCTCAGATTCTATGACACAAACAACTATAGAGCTAATGAAGTGGGAAGACACAGTACATCCCAAACTGAACTCAGCTCGACTGTCGGTGCCCCCCTGGTGATTTACGGCCTTCACCTGAGCTAGAAACCTTAGCCTCTCTTTCTCCCGCCTCCCTCTTAATGCCCCCATTCTCTTCAATGTCATCAATGCTACCCCGTCAACATCTTTCAAATCTGTTGCTGACGTTAACCATCTATTTAATGTTGGACTGCCTGGAACTGTTTCCTCCAGGGCCCTTGGCCTCGCGTGCTGGCCCTTCTTGGAGCCACATTTCACAATGACATGTACGTAATCTTTCTAAAACAAAAATCTGATCCCTCTTCGCTGCTTAGAATTCAACTGCGATCCCTAGCCTGCCTATTCACCATGGCACATGGGGCCCTTGGCCATCGGGCTCCTGCCTAGCTCAGCAACCTCAGCTTCAACCCTTCCAGCTGGAACTGCAGCCATGTGAAATGACAAAACTTGCAACTTCCCGAGCAGGTGGCACTCCTTCACATTCGCGTCCTCTGTCCCGTTTCAGTCACCTCCATGCACACTGCTACTATGGAATTCCGTCTGCTGCAGGATTTATCCTTCTGTCTTAGCTGCTTTAGACGGGGCAATCCTGTACATCGAACCTAGAAAGGCATCTGGCACATGACAAGCTCTCAAAAACATCGGGCCCCTTCTGCCTTGAAGTTGGATATGGTAGGGTCCTGGCAGGCTAATACTCCTGCTGACAACTACAAAAAGCCAGATAAATTACAAAAACAATTTCTTAAAACATAAGTAGTTGTGGAAGCAACAGGGACTAGGTGGACGGATACTCTCGCCAGGGGGGAATGTTCAGTGAGTCAATGGTTGATAGCTGTTTCTCTTTATTTTTTTGCTTTTTCATTTCACTTCATTTTATTTTATTGCCCTTGCTGCATTTGCCGACCCTTGACATGAGCTCAGGATTACAGTGTGGCCCAGGCCAAAGGCTGTCCCTTAGGAAAGAGAAACCACAACGCTTTTAAAATATTGTTATGTGGGGTGGAGGGGGACAAACCTGCAGTTTTTAGAGCTCTCAAAATACATGGCTTCTGGGAGAAGGCTGCTGCTGGGGGATGGACAGCTGAGAAATGTCCAAACACATGAAAGAGATCAACCCCACGGATTCAAGCTCAGCAAACCCAGGTTGGCGGTACAAAGACAAAGACACACAGATCACAGCCGAACTGTTGTAAACTGAAACTAAAAAGAAAAATCTTAAAAGTAACAGAGCAGTAAGACTGACAGATACTTCTCCACAGAAACGATGAAATCTGGAAGACACTAGAAGGAGAGGGACATCTTTAAAGGGCTAAGAGGAAATAACTATGAGGCTTGCATTTTATACCCTATGAAGCCAGCGTTCAAAATTGAAGGTGAAATAAAGATGGTTTTGGATAAAAACTAAGCGAATTCAGGGCACCTGGGTGGCTTGGTGGGTTAAAGCCTCTGCCTTCGGCTCAGGTCATGATTCCAGGGTCCTGGGATCGGGCCACATTGGGCTTTCTGCTCAGCAGGGAGCCTGCTTCCCCCTCTCTCTCTCTGCCTGCCTCTCTGCCTACTTGTGATCTCTGTCTGTCAAATAAATAAATAAAATCTTAAAAACAACAACAAAACAAACTAAGGGAATTCATTGCTATCAGGTCTGCACTAAAGGAAAAAATAAAGGGAAAAATGAACCTAGACAGAAGCACGGCTATGTAGGAGGGATTGAACAACAATAGAATATACCGGTATAAAATAATTCTAACTATACAAAATGATTATGTCTTTTGCAATTTAAGTATATATATAAAACCAAAGTGCAAGACAATAATGTAGAAACAAAGGTGCATGGGAGGGGATGTAAAAGGAGTTACATGTATTAAAAGTCCAATAGTTTGAGGAGGTGGTACAATAATCTGAAATTTGTAGGGTAAGCGCCGAAAGTATTGTAAAAGAATATACACTTAAGTTCAGACAGCAGTAAAAATA